CCACCACATGTGCGGTGTGAAGTTCGATTCGTCGCCAAGGGATTGCATGCATGCGTTATAGGGCCAACGAGCATCTGCCACAAGGTCCGCGGCTAATTGATTTTATGAAACATATAGCTGTATGGTTTGAGGTAGGTGGGTATCCCAGGGTCTTTGGATACTCCTTGTGCCCTCAACCCTCGAAGGAATCTCTTGGGGTTCCTAGGATTCATGTAAGTGCAACAACAGGGTCTGTAGCACGATACAATGAGGGTATAATTTATCTCAACCCCGCCAAAAGCCGACACCTAGCCCTAAATGCCCAAAACAAGGCGGCAGCAAAGGCAGCTTAGGCGGGGGATAGCAACCTCGAAGCAGAATTCTGTGCCTGGCCGGCAGTCTATCCGTCACGTTTATGGGTTCTGCTTGTTCTAAACTGTACTTGCGGGTGTAGGACTTTTTAGGCGACATCAAGGGCTGTGCAGGCAGGAGGTCTCCATAATTGAGGCGAGGTGGGCAGCCCAGACAGTGTTTCCACACCACTTAAGCGGAAATTACCAGGGTTTGAGATTCAATTTTCAGGGCTATCAGGGGATCTTTGATGTGGGCACAATCTCAAACCAAGATGACTTGAGCGCAAGTGTGCACGCACGTACATGGCTTAATGCATCCACAAGGCAGCGCTAGAGCAATCGTACAAGTGCAGCTGTGGCAAGCTTGTAGAAATCGATGCGGGTGTTTGTTTGTTTGCGTGTGAGGGTATGTGTATGTGTGTGTGTGTGTGTGTACAGCAAGTGTGTGTGAGAGGTTGGGAGAGCGTGTGCGTGAATGCGTGAGTTTGTGCATGTGTGCATGCGCATGCATGGATATATTTACAGTAATTATAGGGTATGCTTGTCGCACACGCGCACACACAGACGGACACATACAAAACAAGCCTGCATGTATGTCTAATTTGCATTAGGTGCATGCGCACGAGAATATGAGCAGGCCTGTGCGTGCCCTGCTTACTCATGGACTCTTACATTTCTGCATGTTCGATCCAAAACAATTCAATCCCAGCTGCCCAAAACTGTAGCACCGAAGGTGTTTCCATTCAAGAGATTCATCAGACGACAGCAGACTGAAACCCCAACAATCCCTAAGCTGCAGCCTAAACCCTATACGCCCTAAACACGCCAAACAGGCCCTAACCACCCTACGCCCTGAACCAGAGCGAACAAGTCGGGGAACATGCGCTGTCGTCATAAGTGAGTTGAACACTAGGATTCACGGACGAGTTACAAGGTTTCATTTGTTGTAGGCTGCCTTGAACAATGATGCTACAGGTTCGGGGGTCTGGGTTTTAAGGTTCTATGTCGTGTCGACCCTACAACCCAAACAGGTCCGACACATTCGCTCCCAACACAAAGTGCAAAGGACCTATGCTTGGACACGGAGCGAGCCCAATGAACCCGAAACGGAGCGGCATACCGACAAACCGTGGGCATACGATTAAGAAGTCTAAGCTTCTCTCATATAATCATATAAGTCTATGCTTCGATCAGGGCTTTCGGGCTGTACAGTAAATTTTCGGCAGTAGGTTTTGGTCCGTATACTTGGGATTTTCATCACCCAGGGATCCCGATTATGGGCAAGGGCAGGGCACCCCAATGAGAAGCTCCATATGGCCAGGACGCCGAAACAAGGACAACTCCGGTCAGTACAGCAATTCGTCCTTTTTGTATGAGGTATCTGGGCCCTGAAGTAAAACTCCAAACCGCAGATCCTAAATGCAAAAGAGACCTACATTCCAAAACCCGCAGCCCTTACAGGAACCGGTGAAAAAAACAACAACACAAAATGCCCCAAGTCCTATAACATCCAAAAACCCTATGTAAATCCCTAAATACCGATTTGCAATCCACCAAGATCCCCCCCCCCTCCACCAAGGCATCAAAACACACCATCCCAAATCCTAAACAACCCTAATCGAGCTGGTAAAGTCATCCAAATGTCGGTGGCTCTTGTCTCGGATGATCTATGGGCCCGGCCAAACGGTAAAGCTTTGGATCGTAGCCCTGGCCCATTTGTTCTTTTGCAGTGGGGTGGTTTCGTGGGCTTAGAAGTTTGGAGCTTAGGGCTTAGGGCTTTGGTTTTGTAGTGGTTGAGTTGGCTTTCGGAGCATATGATATATGCTATATGGTTCTATTGTTGTGGGGGGTTGGACGTGGGGGTTTGGACGGAATAAGCATCAGGGCTTCGGGCTTCTAAAGTTTCGGGCTGTCCGGCTTTGGCCGCAGATCTTTAGATCTGAACGGCAGCCCTTGGGGCTTGAGATCCTGGAGAGCGAAACAAATCGCAACCTACCTCGACCCTCAACTGTAGTACCTTGTTCGAGTTTGGTCGCATTTTGGATCCTAACCAAAAATGGGCCATCCAATAAAAGGCACCACGTTTAAGGGTCTGGGTACTTCACACTACACGTTCACAGGAATGATGTTTCCTCTCATGTTTGTCTTGGATAAAACAGAATGTGGCCTTGGAAAGAAGCTCCAGGTTAATCTGCTGGAGACTGAGATAGGTTCGAGTGTTTAGTTGGGCTGGGGCTTCCTCAAGTTGAGGTTGTAAAAAGGGGGTGGGATGAACAGGGAGGTAACGATGAAATACTCCCTCCGGCGGCGTCACCGCCAATGTAAGAAGAGCAAGAACCCCCTCACCAACACCCCGAAACTAACAAATGCGAACACTGTACATCAAAAACTGAAAACCTCCACAGGCAACAGCTCCAACCCATTAGCCCTGCTTCCCGACCGCTCCACTCTACACTTGTGAGTTCTGCATTACATGACGAAGACTTAAATTATTCATGAAATGCAGAAGAAGATAATGCAAGCCGGAGAAGGATGTGAACTTAGGATTTAAGCAGAAAATGAAGAAGAAAAGAATGAAGGCCCACAGCCGCGGGGCCTGAGTCCAAGCAACCCCAGAAACATTGAACCAACAAGTCACCAAAGCTCTGATACATGGCTACTTCTCCAAGTTCCGGTTTCTGTCAAGATCCCCAAAGTAGCACGGCACCCTTATGAAACCCAGAAGTAGGGTTAAGAAGTGTCCCCTTTAAAGGGTCTCCCTGATACTACTACCCAGGATACAACCTCTCCTTCAACCCCAGGAGCCTTCTACCATCCTAATAAGACATGCCGCCCCCCATCCCCCGGCCCTAACTCCTATCCCCTTGTAGTCCCCATCTGAATGTTCATATATGCCATCAAATACCACCAAATCCTTTTGAATCTGAAGCATGAAGGCACCAAGATTTAACCCCTAAAGCCTTAACTTCTCAAATCCCCAGCCAACAAAACAAAAACACCCATCGGAAGCCCTATAAACATGCCTAGAGTCGGACAACAAAACACCCCTAGGCAACCCTATCAACACGCATAGAACCCAAACAAAAACACCCCCAGGGAACCTTACCTTAACCTACCAAACCCTACTTTTTTGTAGGTTCTTATTATTAGCCTTAATCTGGAATTTATAGGAACCCTACAAAAAAGTTGGTTTTGGTAGCCCTAAACCCTAAACCCTAAACCAAATGTTCGCAGAACCCTCAGAACCTGCCTCATGAGCCTCCTCCGGGTGAGGTCCTTCTGAGGCAATTGCTGGGTTCTGAGGGTTGATGGTATAAATCCTGGGGCCTGGGGGTTCCTTTAAAGGGATCTATAGGGGGCTACCTTTAAGGGGCTCCTTTAAGGGATCTATAGGGGGGTTTAGGGTTTAGGGATGTAAATCCTGCATGTCCCATAGTAAGGAATATACCATAATTCCCATAGTTTCGGGTCCTTAAGGTAATGCAGGATGTATATCATCAACAGTAGTAGCCCCTTTAAAGGACCCCTTAAAGTAACCCCATTCTAACTATTAAGGCCTCTACATTATAGTACTCTTATCTTATATCATCAACCGGAGTACTATAAAATAACCAGACTGGGCCTCGAAAAGTCAAGAGTTTAGCGGTGGAACTTTCCCAACTCTCAAGCATTGAAAAAGTCAAACGAGGCCTGGGTTGATCCGAAACTCTAACACGCCCCCATGTGCTCGAAAGCGCGGACTCCACTTTTTGCAGGTCCGTGAAAGATCTTTCTGAATCTTTCGTAGGTGAAATTGTGAATCACTCAGTGCATAATGCCAAATAGTCTGCCGACACACTCATACGCAAAAAATGCGAGGTAAACACGTCCGAATGATCAAGCCAGCGAGCGACGGTTCATCTCTTGAAGGTCGGGTCAATGCACACCATATGAGGGCCAAAACAACAACTAGAACAGGGGCTGTCGGCTTTTATGGTGGAGGTTTTATGCTCAAGGGCCTTAACAGCCAGAATAGGTTTCAGCAGTGCTTTTTTGTATTGGGAAACCCTGAGGAAGAGTCAGACTTTTTTTAAAACGGCGCTAAATTACTTCAAGGATCAGGAGACTTAGTTGGTAGGGTTGCAGAGTAGCTAGAAGTGCCATCATTTGTAAGTCGTAAGCCCAACTAAAGTACTTGTACCCATACTTTCTCAGCCCCATGACCCTTCAAGTATTCCAAACCCGACAGCACTTTCTTCCGGCTGCCGAACGCCTCGATTCTGTCGAGATCTGCTGACTTCATGATGACAGATTTTTGGGGGTAGGTTTCGGGCTCTGGTCCGGGCATAAATAAGATTCTGGGGTGCACCCTGGTAGAATCATAATCTAGAACCCTAAGATTTTAACTATCTGTTGGAGCCCTGAGGATTTACATAGACCAACTTCTGACCGGCAGCTATACTCTCAAGGGCACAGTGGCAGCTTAGATAACTCCCTATACAGCAGAAGCCAGAAAGCTGGAACATCATTAGCCCCATGCCCTTGAAGTAAAGTTTAGGGCAACCCAGCATGAATCATCCTAAGTCCATGTTCCAACTTTCTGGCCCTAAACCCTAAACCCCTAAAGCCTAAACCGCGCTAAACCTTAAACCCCTAAAGCCTAAACCTCGGTAAGCCCCTAAAGTAGACTCACGGCTGGTCGCTGTCTGAGAGGTCGAGATCCGCAAAGGGATCGAGCCTCGAGGACTTGACTTTGGAAGGGCTCTATTTGGGACTTAGGAGGGGGGTAGGGTGCTGTTGCCTCCTACCTAGCGAGGACGAAGGCCGCATTGAATTGAAGAAAAACTCGGTTGAGGGGGGGGGGGGGGGGGGTTTAGGGTTTGGGATTGATGGTGTAGGGTTTAGGATGGAAGGTGTAGGGTTTTGTGTTTGGGCCATATGGATTCAGGAAGGTGTAGGGTGCATTAGCGTTCAGGCGTCTAGGATTTAGGGTTTAGGCCGTGTGGCTTTAGGACGGTGTGGAGTTCCATTCGGATTTGGGGCCCGCAGAGTTCAGAGCTCAGAGGGTTTGGGATTTTAAAGTTCTGAAGAGACGCGACGAGTAAGGATAGGAGCAGCTCATGCATGAACGAAGTTTGCAAACGAGTTGAAGGGCTTAGGGTTTTAGGGTTATACAGCCGTTTAGCAGCACCCTCCTCTCGGCCCTGACTAACACATGGGCTCCATACCCACCGTGCAAGAACAATCAGTAAGAGAATCAATCCTAAACCTCAGATCTTAAGGCTGAAGCCTTAGGCCCCATATGGGAGTTTCCCAAAATAGGGGACCCTAAAATAGTACCCTGAATATAGTAGGATCCGTATTAGGACCCCTAATCTTACAAGGACCCCTAAATCAGGGACCCCTATTTTTCGAAAACTCCCATATGGGAATTTTCTCGAACTGTCCGTCCGCTTGAGGGCTCGCTGTTATAAGGGTGCCCGACAAAACTGGATCTCAAACCCCCAGGCCCGAAACCCAATCAGCACCGCAGCCCTCACAGAACCGTTACAGCACCCTTACTACAAGTCCGAAATCCGAGAACCAAACTGTTGAACCCTGCACCCCGTTCGCCACGAAACCCCTATAAACCCACCACCGAGGTCAGCTTGAGCCGGGCAACTCCGGAAAGTTGCCGCAGACCTGCGTGCGTGTTCGGCCGACTTGCCCGTTGACAGGATTAGGTTTTCTGTGTTCAGCTTAGGGTTCAAGCTTACCTATAGGGTCATACCCTACCCCTTTTTTAAGGTACCTACTTTTCTAAATAATAGAACCTAACCATAAAACTAGGTATCCTAAAAAAGGGGTAGGGTATGACCCTCTAGGTAGTGTTCAGCCCTAAACTCCTAAACCCCCTAAACCCAAAACCCTAAACGCGCTTCCGGTTTACGGCTTCGGCTTAGGGTCTCCGGCATCTTGGTGTCCAGGCCTTTGGGGCTCCTAAGCTCGGGTGGTAAGGCTTCAGAAGAACTGCAGTGGTGCCGAGAAGCTGGCATAGAACCAATTACCTTTTTAAATGGTGTCTATGAAATGTGTAGATATTTGTGATACCGCTTTAGGGTTTAACGTGGACGCTCTGTAAACCCAACTAGCGATAGGGTGATGTACTGCAAGGTTTAGCTTAACGTGGAGTGTCCACTGTTCTGACAGGGCGCCACATCTTTGGGCGTCTTCCACACGACCGGCGCAGTGGTTCGTGACGGAACGAAGTATTCCACGCCTTGACAAAAACTGGAGTACATGGCATTATGGGATGCTTCAAAAGCTTAGAGGTGCCTTGATTGAAAGTCCTTATAAGAAGAACCTGGCTAGGTACTGCTAGTCATGGCATCTGCGCTGCTGAGTTTGGACAATATTGAACACCAGCCACATACGAGTACCGGCACCCCAGACCCGAAACGTACAAGTTTTACACATCCCAAAACGCTCTCTATCTGCAGCTCTTTTCGCCGAAGTCAAGACATCTACATGAACGCAAACCAAATACCAATCGCAAAAATAAAACCCTGGATAAGGATTCCGTTACACATGCCCTGAGAAGGTGTTGTGCGGGTTGAAGCAGAGCTTAGGCTATTTTTGGCCTTAATGGCTGGCTCTCGGATTGGCCTCGGTATTTCGTAATCTCGTTTCCCTAACATACAGCGGAACTACTGCAAATCAAACAATTTGTAGCATTGTCCCGTGATCGTCCTTCCTGTAAGAACAAAGTCTAGCACTACTTACTATGAAGGCCCAATAAAGTAGGCAAAGAGACTGACAATTGGGCTTCCGGCAGGGTTCAACATGCAGCACCGTGTGTTCTGCCATTGATTAGGCTCTTTGGTTTCATATATAGCGCGGATAACTGCTGGAACGGGGTACCTAAAGAAAGACTTTGGGATGCATAATGGTTGCCTGATGAATTATTTCTAGACTTCCAGGAGATATGAATATTCTCGGACATTTACCATATACGTCCGAAAGTTGGAGGGTCTCTTGGCGATTGCAGACGAAGCTACCATCGAGCCAGCAGCCCCCCTCTTGCACGTCGTCGCCCTGAGGCCTGCTGGGGGCACTTGGTGTTGATGAGCTCTTCGGGGTCAAGGGCGGCAGCTAACTCTGGACCCCGGTTTTGCGCTCACAGTGTACTGGGTTTTAAGCTCTCGCATCCATTGCGATAAACGTCCTGAGCCCTGTTTTTGAGCAGGGGCTGCGGTGCACATTGCCCTGAGGTTGCTCCTTGCCTTGCATCTTCGAGCCAGGCATCTGGATCCACTATTACCCTAAGGCCCCAAAGTAGTTCCTTTTCGGGGTTCATATTTAGAATCCTATGAGGTGATCCCAAAAAAGGAATTACTTTGGGGCCTATGGGTAGCTACTAACGCCAAAAGCTTGCAGTTCAAGCCTTGGACTTCTCCTCAGCGACTGAAAGGCACGAGTTTACCGTTAGAACCATGTACGTCCTAGACCCTAAAACCTGAACCCAGGGGGGCTTTAGGGTTTGTTGGTTTGGCTTGATTCGCAGGGAAACCCTGCCTCTTAACGCAGTCCAGACTTACATGCCTGCTCAAATACGCGCATGTGGTGGCAAAACCAACTATAGTGAGGAATGCCATGTAGGTGTATATATATATATATATATACACATAATACATACATACAGAGATAGATAGATAGATAGATAGATGCATTCCAACACCAGGCCAGAGGCTCAGATTTCGAACACACACACACACACACACACGGAACCTTTGTCAGGAAGAAGCTACAAGGGACCACCAACAGTGGAGGCCGCCATCTAAATGGCTATGAACTCAAACATATGTATATGCATATATATATATATATGTATATTATATACAACAAATTCTTGATTGTTACTTTTTTCTAGCGTCTTATTCTCATTACTGTCCACCCTCCACAGTCCATTAACCAGAAACCTGACCATCCAGTCTTAGATCCTGAAGATGCTAACAGATGCTAACAACAAGCAAAAGGAGCTCGGTTCATTCAATGGTCCCCGTCCCGGTCCCCGTACATGTATACTATCTTCTCAAACCTTCAATGTTCAAAAACAATACCTTCAGGGCCGAAGTACATAGTTCCTATCTGGGTACCTGGACCGACAACAGCGACCCCATCGTAAGCCCTGAAACCTTGAACCAAACCGTCTTAGAAGCCTTACCGGAACAGTCTTAACACGTTGTAGGTTTCAAGGTCAACTTCTTGAAACCCTTGGGGCCGGGCGAGTCCAACTCCACCGCCACCAGGGGCCTAGGCACTCCTGGGGTTCATTCTTGGCTAACCAAGGGTGCAGGGGTTTTGGGTTAAGGTTTTGAGGATCTTTCTTTGATAACCTTACGGGACCAGGCACTCATATAGTTCCTTCTTGGGCCTTCAAATGCTGTTTGGGCACATGGACCGGCAGGGTAAAGCAACATGCCGAGCATAGGCAAAAGGGGCTCTCGAAGGGCTTGAGGGTTTAGGTGCTAGACATCGAATCAGAGAATTTAAGTTTAGGTACCTCGGGAATCCGACCTCTTCAAGGGCATCCGGACGACGGAACCGCCGGGATAAGCTCTGCTGCTCAAAGGGTGCTGTAACTGATCTATTTCTTGCCTATTGGATCTTCGAGCAACATCATTAAATTACTAGTTCCCAGGACACATGGTTCAACGGGTGTAATACACTGAGTGTAGGACAGTGTAAGAGCCAATGTGGGTCTCGGGTTTACTTGTAGCTCCCAAACTCTACATCTACGTATATTTCTAAGCACCTTTTAACCTGTCCGTTATCTTAAAGTATTGGGGAGCAACTTAAGCGGGGATACCCTACCAGCGGGGATACGCGTACCTAGGGGCTCGGGCCGGGTCTGATTTTGGCAGAGGTCATGTGTGAAGATTGCGGAGCTGTCTATTTTTCAACATCCGTCGCGAAATTAACATCGAAATGAGGAACCACGGATCAAACGTTTCTGTTTCACAACCCCTCAAATCCAAGTCATGTGTCATGTTTTGGAGGCCCAGCTTTTCCAAGCTGTTCCATGCGAACTTGGATTGTGTTGCAGTGCTGGCCAATGCAACATCTTTGCTTCCATGGTGCATAAAGGGCTTGAAGTTGAGGGCTTGGCTTGTGACTGTTTGGGTTAAACTGACCTATGTCCGTAGGTTTGGCGCGGTTAAACCGAACCAGACGTCTCTCATGTGCACATATGTGCACGATGTCTGTGCTTCTCTAAGAAGGGGTCTGCTCATAAGAGGGGTTGTGGGGAGACCACAGACCGAAGCGCGTTTCAGGGGCGATTCAAGCGCATTTCAATGGTAATGATGATTACAAGAGCTTCCAAAGACACCAAAGAGCAATCACAGATCAAGCGAGCTTCCAGCGTGTTTCAAGCACAGTTCAATGGTAAGGAGGATTCCAAATACATAGGTTAAAACGAAGCCAAAGCCAAATACAGATCAAGCGCGTTGCAAGCGCGTTTCAAGCGCATTTCAATGATAATGAGGATTGCAGGGGCTTCAACGAAACCAAAGAGCAATCACAGATCAAGCGCGTTTCAAGCGCATTTCAAGCGCATTTCAATGGTAAGGAGGGTTCCCATCGTTTAAAACGGAGCCGAAAGCAAATACAGATCAAGCGCGTTTCAAGCGCATTTCAAGCGCATTTCAATGATAATGAGGATTGCAGGGGCTTCAACGAAACCAACGAGCAATCACAGATCAAGCGCGTTTCAAGCGCATTTCAAGCGCATTTCAATGGTAACGAGGGTTCCCATCGTTTAAAGCGGAGCCAAAAGCAAATACAGATCAAGCGCGTTTCAAGCGCATTTCAAGCGCATTTCAATGATTCAATGATAATGAGGATTGCAGGGGCTTCAAAGAAACCAAAGAGCTATCACAGATCAAGCTCGTCTCAAGCACATTGCCATGGTAACCAGGATTCCATAGTCTACAACGAACGAAGCCAAAGCCAAACACAGATCAAGCGCGTTCCAAGCGCGTTTCAAGCGCATTTCAATGATAATGAGGATTACAGGGGCTTCAAAGAAACAAAAGAGCAGTCACAGATCAAGCGCGTTTCAAGCGCATTTCAAGCGTAAGGAGGGTTCCCATCGTTTAAAACGGAGCCGGAGCCAAAACCAAACACAGATCAAGCGCGTTTCAAGCGCATTTCAATGATAATGAGGATTGCAGGGGCTTCAACGAAACCAAAGAGCAATCACAGATCAAGCGCGTTTCAAGCGCATTTCAAGTGCATTTCAATGGTAAGGAGGGTTCCCATCGTTTAAAGCGGAGCCAAAAGCAAATACAGATCACGCGCGTTTCAAGCGCATTTCAATGATAATGAGGATTGCAGGGGCTTCAACGAAACCAACGAGCAATCACAGATCAAGCGGGTTTCAAGCGCGTCTCAAGTGCACCTCAGCTGTCTTTGAGGCGCATTTCATGCGCGCTGCACTTGCTCACAAGTGCCTTTGAAAGCAATTGATGCACATTTCAATGTTCAGGCAGATTGTGCGGTAAGGATGATTGCGTGCATGAGTTAAGAGAAACCACAGACCGAACGCGGATCAAGTGCGTTTCTAGCGCAAGTGAAGCCCATTACAGGAAACAAGCCACACAAGCGAAGGGCGAATTGCAGATGCAGTGCAATGAACCGCCCAACTCATGCATATCAGGAGGATCTGCACCAGTTTTGCAGAGACGCAGAGCAAGCGCACAGCAAGTGCAGCGTAAGCACAGAGCGACCGCGTTTCAAGGGTATTTCAGGCAGGGCCACACAGCCATGTCACACCTGTGTAACCAAAACAACCTGCAGACCACAGGGCCTGGCAAGGCCCTAAAACATCAGAACAATAGAAGCAATACCTATACATCCATTGATTTCACTCGCCAATAAAATCATGTTCAGAAGGTAGTCACTGCAGCAACCGCAGAGCAATCCGAAACCACTCGCAAGATAAGTGAGCCAACAAACGGAGAACTGTGAGAATGCGGCGACTAGAACTAAGGCAAGAAGACCGGCTATGGGACTAGCTTCTATACTGACCACAAAAACTGACGGCACATACTTATCCCAGCTCGCAACCACTAAAAGCGACTACAGAGGGACACCACTAATATCTTCGAGAACTTATTGTTGTAAGCTCACTGCCAGGAAATCAAGCAGTGATTAGCACAAATGGGCCATGAGCCTGGACGATACATAGCTCAGGCAGAACAAAGTAGCACGACAAACCTTTCAAAGAAAATGCAAGTATCAAAGCCTCGTCAAAATTTACTTGCTTATGTGCACGAACTATCGTCGATGTAGTCTCAGAGCATGCGCTGTCAGGCATGACCAAACGCAACTATTTTCTGAATATCTTAACTATATACGTCAGACCAGGGTCAGGTACACGTATTACAATACCCTGACCTGCGACGTCCATCGAATTTCAATATTCATTCCAGACACGAGAACGGATCACAGAACCAAAAACCTTGGCAACAAAGCCCTGCCGACCGATCCGAATGGAGTCAGTGGGGGTCTCCTCCAAGATTTGTAGCTTCTGCAATGACAGTCGCTGTCTCATCCGTTAGAGCATCAGAAGGTTGAGCTTTTAAAAACTACTGCTTACGGCTTAGGGGTTTAGGGTTTAGGAACAGCGTGCTAAACAAATGATGCTTGCATATAACTACCCAGGGACCCATTTTGAGGGGACCGCCCGGCCAACTTAAGCGGGGATCTGGCGTACCTTTTTGGGGGCCCAAATGCGCCCAAAATGCGCCCAAAATGCGCTCTTCGCTACGGGCCCCGGCCCCGGTCAACTTAAGCAAGGCTGTGCGTACCTACTCAACAGTAGAAGGGCGCCTGGGAGCCTTTATCAGGCCAATCCCGAAACCCAGGGGTGAGCGGGGATACGCGTACCTATCTTTATATAAAATACAATACAAAGACTCCGCCCCAAACCGAGCCTGAGCGGGGATACGCGTACCTCGCGTCGGAAAAACGATTTTGGTCGGACCCAAAAGCTACGAAAATGGCACCCAAAACGGTCAACTTAAGCAAGGCTCTGACGTACCTCGCCTCTTGCTTAAAACGCCTCAGAAATATGCTGTTGCTTGCCAAAAAAAGGCCCGCCTGCGGCGGGCACACCCAAACTTTGTCCGTCGTGTGGTTGTACACCGTGATGTTCAGCCAATCGTCACTTCCCACGTCACTGCATCTGCCACCACGCACAAAAAATGTCCGTCGACCGGGAATCTGACTTGCCCTGCGTGACATAGGCGTATCGCTCCATGCGTGCTAGCCTGTGTGCGTCCATAGAAGCATGCTTCTTGATCTTTTGCTCGTCCTCCGTGGGGGTCTCCTCCAGGGTGCATACGTGTCCATGCATCGTGCAGATGAGTGCCCTGCGTGTAGAATGACATGAACTCGCCATTTCCTCTCGGAAGCCCATGGACGATCGACGACACCCGGCGGCACCCCTTCAACAGCACGGGAACGTTGATTAGTTACTAAACTCAAACCTTAAACCCCTAAAGCCCAAACCTCAAAGCTACACCTTAAGCCCGAATGCTTCCTCAGCTTCACACTGTGCTTGACATTAAGCGTGTCCAGTAGGAATGGGTGTTGTCCGACGAGTCTTCGCACCTGACAAAGCCTCCATCAGGCAGCGCTGCATCTTGGAGCTGGATTCTTTGCGATTCTCGCTCAGTGTCCGGCTTGTGCAATTTTAAGAATCATCCTGTGGGTCCACCGCTGTGTCACCTCCGTCACGTCCAGGGAACCTGCTTGGAATGGAAGCACTATGTCCACGGCCGTGTAGTCCTCCTCCGCAATGACGACGAAACCATCGTCGACGATCCCAGGCAGTTCTAGCGAATCAACCGGTCGCGCAGTGTCCGGCGTGTCTTCCTGCTCGAAGTGCCCCGGGAATGCTGCATCGACCGGCGCAAGGTGATCCTCGTCTCCGCATCTTCAAACTCCTCGTCGTCCTGCATTTGGTCCTGCTGCTGTCCTTCGTCCGACTCAACCTCGGCCCAAAGTCCAACGTTCGCCATCTCCTCCCTCACCGTCTCCGAGTCGGTGTCGGCCTGGTTGTCATCTGGATCCGGCGCCTTCATGTCCGCCTCATGCGCCCTGTCGCACTCCTGCTTGTCCGCCTCCAGCAAACCGGACTGGACGGTCACCACATGCCACGGGAGTTCCCTGCTACACCAGCCCTTGAAGACGTACTTCGCCATCTCGATGTACTCCGGCAGTTTATCCGACGGGCCGAGGTCCGGCGGCGACAAA